CTCTGTTTGTACCTGTATCACGTTGATAACAGCCTCAACATAACCAAGTAGTAACCTAAAATACTCCACTCAGGTCACATGTTGAAGCCATGTGTGTCCATTTGGGAGTGAGGACATGTTGTGCTAAACATACATCAAAGTCAGAGTTTCCTTTGCTCCAGAGCTGCATGTAAAGGTGTGATCACACCCTCAGATGGCACCCTGTGACCTCGCTGCGAGGCTGCTCTGTGATTGGCCGACGGGAAATCTGTTTTCCACATAGCGTCTCTGCAGCAGCTTTAGTTGAGGTCTTCTCTAAAACCCCGACACGTCACAGACGAGGTCTGTCCTCTCTGAGGGCAAGGAACATTTTTAACTCCTGACACTGAGAGGAAACTTCACCTTTCCTGATCCTGTCCTCATTACTACCGAAGATCTGCCTCCACCACACTGTTGAAGAAAATAAATCAATATCTTATGTATAATCTCAAATGCTAAAACTGTTTGTTCTTCTCAAAAAGAAAATTAAATATGATTAATATAAAAATGTTGTTGGACGTCTCAGTATCTGTTCCTCACCAGCAGATGTCAGGCCTCACACAGAATCATGATGGTTTTAAGCTGTTCTCCATTGTGCATTTAAAAAAAGGTACAATAACATTTTTCATATTTATTCCTATCCTCTGAGTCTTTTACCATGTTGCTCTTTTGGTGAGACGGCTAACGTTGGGCTATAAAGGAACTACAGCACGGTCACATGACTTCACGTCACCACCACTAAGCTAAAGGCAGCTAATGTTGGGCTATAAAGGAACTACAGCACGGTCACATGACTTCAAGTCACCACCGCTAAGCTAAAGATGGCTAATGTTGGGCTATAAAGGAACTACAGCACGGTCACATGACTTCACGTCACCACCGCTAAGCTAAAGGTGGCTAATGTTGGGCTATAAAGGAACTACAGCACGGTCACATGACTTCACGTCACCACCACTAAGCTAAAGGTGGCTAATGTTGGGCCATAAAGGAACTACAGCACGGTCACGTGACTTCACGTCACCACCGCTAAGCTAAAGGAGGCTAATGTTGGGCCATAAAGGAACTACAGCACGGTCACGTGACTTCACGTCACCACCGCTAAGCTAAAGGAGGCTAATTTTGGGCTATAAAGGAACTACAGCACGGTCACATGACTTCACGTCACCACCGCTAAGCTAAATGCAGCTAACGTTGGGCTATAAAGGAACTACAGCACGGTCACATGACTTCACGTCACCACCGCTAAGCTAAAGGTGGCTAATGTTGGGCCATAAAGGAACTACAGCACGGTCACGTGACTTCACGTCACCACCGCTAAGCTAAAGGAGGCTAATGTTGGGCTATAAAGGAACTACAGCACGGTCACATGACTGCACGGTCACATGACTTCACGTCACCACCGCTAAGCTAAAGGCGACTAATGTTGGGCTATAAAGGAACTACAGCACGGTCACATGACTTCACGTCACCACCGCTAAGCTAAAAGTGGCTAACATTGGGCTATAAAGGAACTACAGCACGGTCACATGACTTCACGTCACCACCGCTAAGCTAAAGGCAGCTAACGTTGGGCGTAATGACGTTTAGTCGTCTCATTCAGACTCTAAATTCACCAGTGGGTGGAACAAAACGTTAAAAAAAAATCTCTTCAGCTTGTGTTAACACAGTCCTTATTGCAGGATAAACATGTTAAAAGAACTGTCTGACTTCAAGACTAAGGAATACAATCTGACTTATTTTAGGAGTTTAGGACATATTCCTGCACCACTCTGAGTATGTAATACAAATAAGTTGTCCATGACCCACAGGGGGCAGTGTTTGCATTCATGTGGCATTTATGTCCCTTAATTCTTATTTAGGGGACACAAACATAAACAACCCTGACAGCACATTGCTTCAGGGACGTATAAATGATGAAATATTGATCAGGTCTCTTGTCAGGGATCATTAAAGATTAATCTAATTAATACAAATTGGCAATCACACAGGGAGTGAGGTGTGGTGTGTGTTGGTCTCGCTTGGTTGCAGCAGTTTGAGAGCATTAGCTATGTTGAAATGTGCAGACGTGTGCAGACTGGTGTGTATGTAAGGCAGTGTCGGCTGGTAATAAATATTTGGAAGCAGACAGTTGTGGGCTCCATCAGCAGAAAGCCCCACATATATCATTATTAAGCTATCACACACATGGCTGAGGATCACTACATATTTAAACGTGTTTGTGTACATCAGCGAGCGAGGCACGTGTTTGTCGGCGTGTGGTGGCTTGGCAGATAATCAACTCTGGCCTTCGGAGCGGAGACAAACGGAGTCATAACGTGTAAAATAAAGGCAGAGGCAGATCCAACATCAACAGAAAACATATGAAGCCTGCTGTGGACAAAAAGGTAATCAGTTACCTAATATAAGTATCACAATATAAAAGTAACTGATTAGTCTCTTGGATTTTTTCAGTATCAAATGCAAAAAATATCAATAAGATGTTTTTAACGTATGTGTATAATGTAAGACAACAGAACAATGGAACCGTAGAGAAGAAGAAACCAAGATATTTGGAACCAAAAATGTGTAAATTAAAAGCACACACAGTGGTATCGCTTAAAGGGGCCACCTTTAGCATATGTTCAGGTTGATATTAGTATTTGGTGTCTCTACTATGACGTGTCTGTTGTGTCTCATCAGATTTGTTAGTATTATTTCTCTGTTTAGGTCATATCGTCAAGTCCGCGTCTGCCAACCCTTTTTTGTTGTCTGTCATTTCCTGTTTTACTTTGATAATCTCTTCTCTCATTTCAGGTAGTTCGACCCCAGGGTTTCCCATACATAGACTATACTTGGGCGGGCCGCCCAGGTATATTAACGGCCGCCCAAGTATATTTTTTATTCGTCCGTGACCACGACGCCATCTGCGATCGATTAACTTGTAGACAATGATCCCTCGCTCCCTTGCTCTGATCTCGCCTCCTTCTGGCCTGTTAAGTGGCCTGCCTCACACAGGGTGACTGGCTGTCCACATGATGTGGCCTGCCGACATGGCCACTGTCATACAGATCATAAATCAAAGCCCTTGATTGGTCTCTGTGTGTCATTCAAGCTCGGGATAACCTCAGCTCAGGTGAGGTAAAGGACTCTCTGAGTGTTTAGATAGTTAACTTAGTCTAAGTTCTCAGTGGGTCTCAAACGGTGTGGTCACCATTTATGTAAACACATATTTCCATTTGAGAGGGTAGTGATTGGTCTAATGGAGAGTGAGGTGGGCTGAAGATCGGAAGGCTGTGAGTTCAAATCCCGCCAGGAACACCACCACTAGTGTGCCCTTGAGTAAGGCACTTAGCCCTTAGTTACTCCAGGGAGAATGTCCCTGTAATCGGTCATTATAAGTCGCTTTGGATAAAAGCGTCAGCTAAATTAAATGTAATGTGATTAGTAAAATATGCATGAATAAATAAATAAAAAGTTAACTAGGTGAAAAAAGGTAAGATACACTTTTAAAACTTGTTGAGAGAAAACTAGTCTTTGCTGCTGCCTCAAAGAGGAGCAGGGGGAGAGGATGGAGAGGGGGGAGAGGAGGGAGACAGGAGAGGCTGATTCAGGAGCACAGACACACTCACAACTATAAATGAACCAAAACTAAATTAATAAACAAGTTTCAGTGTTTTTTTCATATTGGAAATGGTATGTTATTGGTTATGGCCTTGATTTTATGATTATTGAAATGTATACAGTTCTGTTAAATATAGGTGTTTCCATAGATCTAGTCTCTTTATTTTCCCCTAAAAATGCACCAGATTGATGCATTTAACTCCAAAATAAAAAATAAAATCTTACCGGGGGGGCATGCCCCTGGACCCCCCTAGAGGATTTGAGGTCGACCCCCACTAAAAATCACATGGATAGGTTCCTAAATACATTAATAAATACATTTATTTTTTAAAATAGTAACCCATTTCCATATGTTCATGTGTGGGTAGTAGATTTAAACTATAGGGCTATCATTATGGACCCTGCCTGTACCTGTACCTGTTCGCTCTGCCATCGCGTGAAGGGTATGCTAACAAGCGACCAACAGAAAGGTTAATGTTGTTGCACGTCACCTCAACCCCCCCCCGCTACCACCACCCCCCAAAGTATATTTCAGATCTGTGGGAAACACTGGCAGTTAATGGACCAGCACCAGAGGCATTCCCATACACACAGGCGTTGGAGCTGTTCTTCATGAAATCCCAGAAGGATGAAGTGCTCTGACAAACAGTGCCATCTTTGCGCAAAATGATTATACCGGAATGAAAAGTCAATAAATAATGTTGTTAAAACTTTTTTTTTTTTTCGCGCAGAAAGTCTGCAGAAGACAACATGTTCCGTTGCCTCATGCTATTAAACAGTACAAAAAAAGTAGGCCAGAAAAACACCTTGATTTCTGATATAAAGAAGCACATTTTCAAAAGCAAAGCAAGGCTTGTTTCCAATCAAATGTATTGTGGGTTTTCATTGTCCTCTGAGGTTGAACCCCAGTGTTTCGGTGATTCTTTGGCCTTTAATATCACTTTCTTTCACAAATGATACCGAAATGTAAATGTCAAATAACTTTGAAATTCACCCCTGACTTAAATACAAAAAAGTAGGCTAAAAAAAAAATCTTGAATGCTGATATAAAAAAGCATAATTCATCACCTCTGCAGATTATTCCCCATACATCACGGTCTCTCAGAAAACACATTTTAACCCTCTGGAGTCTAAGGGTATTTTCTCGATTTTTAGATGTTTTCTTAAATCACCTTTTAAATATATTTCTTCTAAAATGGCACCCATGTGTTACATATCAAAATGTTCAGGACAATCTCTAGTATTGCTATATATGCAAATTACTCACCTTAGAGCACTGTTTGATGAGATAAGTAGCTCAAAAGCTTAACATTTGACATCCGATTTTCGGAACATTTTCAAAACTCTTGTGAAAACACACATTTACTCATGTGATCGAATTGTTTTGGTGTTTTAGATTTGGTTACCAAAGTCTTAGGATTACAAAAGTAGTGAAATATTTGAATTACACTGTATATAAATGTGTTATTCATGTCTAAAATGAAATTTTATAAATTCGAATTCTGAGTAAAACAGCTGTCAATCACTCTACTTTCACCACAGCAGGGACTGAGATATATCAGGACTGAATAATGACTTCATATTACATACCAAGGTTCATGTGATGTGTAAAAAAAAAAGAATTGAGCATTAGAACTTTTTTTTTCAACCAACAATTTATTATAATACCAACAATGTATATAAATATAACTGCAAAATCTCACTATTTACAATATTGAACATCAGAACTTTTTTTCCTTCAACCAACTATTCATTATACACTGACAAAATGATCCTTCCTCCAGTAGTCCAATACATTGTCCAGTTTCAGCAGCCCCATGTATTTATAGAAATCCTCTACAGTCAAGTCAGTCCATTTGTAGGTTTTACACTTTCCCATCTCCTGTGCAGCCCGCTTGTTTGTGTTGGTACAGAGTGTCTGTACTGTTAGTGCACTGAAGAACAGCTTGAACAGGTCAAGGGGTTTGTTTGATACTGTTGAGCTGAGCTGTGGCCCGGGTGTGCGAGCAGGTTGAAACCTGGAGACAGGGGAGCAGTGTCGGGGTCTTTGCCTGTCTTCCAAGACAGTGGAGCTGGCTGCTGTGCAGGTGGGGGTGATGGTGCATGGGCAGCTGGTGGCTGTGTGGGAGGTACATGTGCTCTATGAGACCTCTTTGCTGTCCGGGTTGATGGTGATGGCTGTGGTGGAGCTGAGGTGTATCTTGACCTCGTCGCAGGCAGCTGTCGTGATGCTGGTCCTCTAGTGCTTGGTGGGGATGGCAGTGGTGAAGGCCCTTGATCCACGGTAGATCTCAACATGGTGGCAGGCACAGCTGGAGGCTCCTGGATAAATGTCATCTGTGGGCTGCTAGGCCCAGGCAGCTGTGAAACCTCTCTGTAAAACAAATACAAATACACACACACACACACACAAATGGCAGGCACACATATAAATAAATTAAATGTCTCCGTTGTGGGACAAATAAAGGATTATCTCATGCATCTACACATGTAACCTTACTTATACACACCAAAATAACGTTTACACATAAATAAAGTGTATCACAGACACACATGTAAATAAGTCTATGACAAAGTCTCATCTGTACAGAACAGTATGATCAAATAAAATACATGTCTATAAATGTCTCCGTTGTGGGACGAATAAAGGATTATTTTTATTCATCTACACATGTAACCTTACTTATACATGCCAAAATAACATTTACACATAAATAACATTTACAGAGTAAACGTTTACTAATCAAGAGTCTATTTTGTCCCGAGAAAAAGTTCATGAGGGGAAAATAAAAAGGTTGATAAATCCATTGTTCATTTTCGCGGTACTCCTCACAAAATGGCAAATGCACTACAAGTTATATTTACACTTACCCATCCTCAAATGGATCCCTGCTGTCCCTGTATTCTTCTTCTTCAGAAGAGTCGAAGCCTTCAGGTTCTGATGAGCCATCTTCTTCACTGCCGCTCGCGAAAATAAAATCCAGCGGGTCCGCAACGGTAAAGTTCCTTCGAGCCATTTTCTCTATCTTCTTCACAGACTAAAAAGGCTTGTTTGAGACAAGCAAGACCTGCGCAGACCTGCGCAGTTGCGATCAACGTCTTGCTAGTGCGTTGCATGATGGTTAGTCATTTTGTCCGACTTGCTCTGGAGGCCCGCCCACATGAGACTTTGAAATTTCGCGGAACAAAGACGCCCGCAGCCTTGAGAGCGAGGCGAGGCGAGGCGAGTTGGCGCAGTTGCTCTCCACGGGCTGCGGAAGCGAAATGCTTGATGGGAAACGGCTCGCTGGTATCTCGAGCTGAGCGCTCATTGGTGGTTTTTACCACGTGCTGCTGATGAAACTCTCCAATTGGCTGGCAAAAGTTTGTTGTTGTTTTGTGTCAGTTTTACGTCGCCACATCCATTCCCATTTTTCATCATTGTTCCACAATGTTTATCATCATGAAATTAATATCTATATATTTTATACTATACTGCTTACCGTTTTCATACTTTATATATCTTAGCATATTCATACACACTGTTCATACTGCTCACAGGCTGATATCTAGTGTATTCATACCCCACTGTTTATTCATCATTCAATTCATTCTATATGTTATTCTGTAGATTGTGTACATTACTTTCCACTTCACTGCTTGTTGCACCTGGTTAGAAGCTAAACTGCATTTCGTTGTCTCAGTACCTGTAATATGTGCAATAACAATAAAGTTTCTCTTTAAGTTAAACCAAATCATTAAAATAAAATCTATTGTAATGTAATGATTTGGTTTAACCTTATTTATTGAATACATCATTTAAAATGGCAAGATTAAATCAAATTACATCCATGTTGTACACATCATAAAGCTTAAAGTGGCAGCTAAAGAATTAACACAGCAGCAGGTCTGTTCAATTCATGCTCATTAAGCTTCATGTGTGCGGATCTGAAGGGACTGATCATTTGTAGCCTGTCCACCTATCAGTTTTGCAAACATTAAGAGGGAGGAGCATTTCTAATTATGGAACCCAGTCACTGGTGTGGTTCATCATCATGACTGAATTAACAAACCTATATAAAGCAATGGAGATCACCTTTGTGGGTAAAATGGAATTTGTGGTGCTTACACTGTGTGACGAACAGGGAGACATCACTGTAAGAGTCTCACAAGACATTTCCCAAAGACTACAAAATGGTGAGTAAACAACTAAATTGCATTCCAACAATCTGGATATGATTTTAAATGATGTAAATTATTTTTCAGATAACAGTTTAGCAGCTGCACTTATGCAGCAAGCAAGGGCTGCAACAAATGCACAAGGTAATCTATCATTTAAATCAAAAATGGTATTGTCTTTTAATGCAAATCAAACAAATGACATATTCATGTTTATTGTAAACAAATATTTAATTTTCTCTCAATCACAGTCCCTTTAGATCTGTCTTCAGATGTTAGGCCTGCTCCTGGAAGGCCTGCTCCTGATGAAAGACCTGCTCCTGACGAAAGGCCTGCTCCTGATGAAAGACCTGCTCCTGACGAAAGGCCTGCTCCTGATGAAAGGCCTGCTCCTGTAAGGCCTGCTCCTGTAAGGCCTGCTAGATCCCAAGCTGGCACTCCTCACCTGGCATCCCCCTCCAGCCGGTCAGAACACCTTGAGGCAACACAAGGTACAGTAACTAAAATGAGGATCTTTTACATTACATTACATTACATTACATTGCATTTAGCTGACGCTTTTATCCAAAGCGACTTACAATAAGTACATTCGACCAGGAAGACACAACCTTGAAGAAAACAGAATCATATAAGTATATCAGGTTTCATAGAGCCAAACATTTCAAGTGCTACTCAACTGGCTTTAGGTAATCCAGTCCTTTATTGGTATAAAAGTGCTTCGTTAATCGTTCTAACGCTCGAAGTGGAGTCGAAAGAGATGAGTTTTCAGTTTGCGCCGGAAGATGTGCAAGCTATCTGCCGTCCTGATGTCAATGGGGAGCTCATTCCACCATCTTGGAGCCAGGACAGCAAACCCACGTGTTTTCGCCGATGGGAACTTGGGTCCCCCTCGCAGCGAGGGCGCAACGAGTCGTTTGGCTGATGCAGAGCGTAGTGCACGCGCTGGGGTGTACGGTTTAACCATGTCCTGGATGTAGGAAGGGCCAGATCCATTCGCAGCACGGTAAGCAAGTACCAGTGTCTTGAAGTGGATTCTAGCAGGATCTAAACAGCAAATGCTATTTGTTTGAGTTACTAACACTTGTGTCTTAACAGATTTCACACACAACACCATACTGCTGCTTTTGGACCTGACAAAAACTCACCAACAGGTGTACTATCACTCCAAACCCGGTTTTTACAAAATTCTACAACGGCAGTTCAGCAAGGAGGGATACAGTTTCTCCTCAGACAAAATCCGGAAAAAACTCAACAACCTTTTGACCACCTACAAAAGGGTCAAGGACCGTTGTACCTCAACAGGAGAGGGGAACATAACGTGGGAATATTATGGGGTAAGAAGTTTGTTCTTGCACATCTAGTTGGTAAAAGCAACATTTCCATTTGAACAATTCTGCAATTCCACAGATAATGGACAACCTGTTTGGGAGGTGCGGTGTTGGGAGCGCACCTCCAGGCACTCTTGTTTCCACCCCTCTATTACCCACTGCCTCACAACCATCCACCACACTGCCGTGTGCCTCTGAGGCCCAGCCTGGTCCCTCCATGACCCTGCCCACGACACTGCCGTGTGCCTCTGAGGCCCAGCCTGGTCCCTCCATGACCCTGCCCACCACACTGCTGTGTGCCTCTGAGGGCCAGCCTGGTCCCTCCATGACCCTGCCCACCACTCAGCCGAGATCAATCCGGTCTCGAGTCTCCCATCCCTCCTTCTACGACCTGTATGAGGCCCACTCGGAGAGGAGGACCAGTGCACTGGAGACACTGGTGCGGCCAGAACAGGAGCGCCGGAGAAGGCTGAAGGAGAGAAATAGGAGGAGGTTTGAAGCTAAAATGTTGACTGCGATGGGAGAAGTTGTTTCCCAGTTAAAGTCCATTGGGAGCCAACAAGAGCGCATCATTGAGCTTTTGCAGGACAAGCCCAATATGCCATAATTTCCCCCACACTGGGTATTCCCTGAATTAATTTGTTTATAAAGAACACCACCTCAGTTTGTTTATGGAAGTAATATTGTTTAGATTAGTTATTTATGTTCCTCGTTATGCAGTTGAGTTATTATTTCATCCCTGGCAATTGCCTTGTAATATTTGTATTTGTATACACTAAGTGTTCACAATGTTTATATGCAATTATTATTTATTTGCCAAGTACATGTGTACATATGTATATATAGTTATTTCATTTTCAAAGAAGATAGTCAACTGCTATTGACATGTGCAGAAAATGACCATATCTAGTTTTCATATATATGCATTTATTTTTTACTTGCCCAATCATCTTGGATGACATTACATGTTACTTGTTAGGCGCTTTAATCCAAAGCGACTTACATACTCAATACTGTGGGCATAAAAGGAAAGGAAATAAAAAACAAATGTCTTCCACAAAGAATATGACAGTGGTTATTTATGGGGGGGGGGGGGGGGGGGTGGGGGGGTGTGTGTGTGAGCTCTTTAAAAAAGGTCACAAATCTGATTTCTGTGCAACACTGCATCTTGGTTCTGGGGATGCGGTGCCCTGTTATCTGCTGCTTCAACCTGCTCATCAACTTCAATTGCTTCCCCTTCCTCCAAGCACATGTTGTGAAGTATGCAACAGGCAGTGACTGCTGTGCTAATGTTTGCAATGTTTTTCATGTACAAACATTTGAGCCTCCTGAACTTCGTTTTCAGTAGGCCAAAGGTATGCTCAATGACCACACGTGCAACATTTAATTTTTGATTGAAACGACGCTGCCGAGCAGTTAAATGGCCATTGTCCCTGTATGGCCTCATAAGCTGAGGCAATAGTGGGTAGGCAGAGTCCCCAATGATGTGCATTCCCTCAGGCACCAGGGACTGGGGATCTTCATCAAGCAGCCTTCCAACAGCAGACAACCGGAATGCCCGTGCATCATGCCAGCTACCAGGGTGGCCCACATTAACATGACAGAATCTCCGTTTACTGTCACAGAACCCAGTAAGTACAACAGAATAAAACTGTTTTCTGTTGATGTATGCTACTGGGTTCTCACAGTGTGGTTTCACAATAGGAATGTGGCATCCATCTACCGCACAGACAGTGTTGGGAAATCCTGCTGCACGAAATCCTAACTCAGAATTATGTAGGGCTTGCCCTGTGGGCCAGGAAATGTGGTGAGACAAATATGTGGTGACAAGACTACAGAATTCATGGAGATGCAGGCAGACAGTGGATTTGGTGATATTGAAACGATCAGCAACCCCCCTATAGGACTCCTGGTTTGATAGAGTCCACAGACAGGCAAGAACACTGTTTTGAAGCGGCACTTTACTGTGCTGTCTGTTCCAGTAGAACGGGCCAATAGTCGTCATCACATCCTGTTTGGTAGAAAGGAATAAATGGCTTTTAATATCACCAGTCCAGATAATACATATTTGATGTTATTTATATATATATATATATATACACACACACATACTTCCACATGTCCCCTGGACAATCGGAAATTACTTTTGAAGTCTGAAGGACTGTACTGTGGGACCACTTCTTCCACAAATTGTTGGACCTTTGGAAGGCAGACACAGGAGCAAATGATGACCATAAATCATTAGACCTATTCAACATTCTTTATATATATATATAACTGCTGCACTTGATTTCAGTTGTATTCTTGTTTATTTATTGTATCTTTGTACTACTATCTTGCTTGCTTTCTATATCTTTAGTAAAGTAGCTTTTATCTTATCCCATTGGACTAAAAAAGACTAATAGTGTCATAATTTTGCACAATTTGTGATCTGTAGAGTAAAGTAATCAGTCCGGATAATCGATCATACTTTTTAATTTAGACTGATGCAACAATATATTGTGTCTTTTTACTTGTGTATTGTATTGTGTATCTGTTTTTGTTACCTGCCTAGGTAGCCTACTACGGATGTAAATTAGCACGTTTGCTCAAACACATTTATACTTCTTGTATTTTATACTGATGTTCATTAACACG